TCTTGCATCTTATGTTTGCATTTTGCTCTTGAACTGTGACCAAAATTTTGGTAGCTGAAAGTGCATCTTCGGCGACCAAATCCGATTTTGGTCTACAAAAGTTAAGTTTTTTAGCAACTAAAAAACAATTAGTAGCCAAAAGTATAGAATTGGCGACCAAAAAATATTTTTAGTCGCCAAAAGTGGTCTTTTTTTATTTTGGTAGTAAATAGTTTATTTTACATAAATTATGTTCAATAAAATAATTATGTTTATACATATACTTTTATATTAATATGGATGTATGTACTATATAAATAATATATGTTGCATATATAATCATGTGGTGCTATAGAGGTGTAGTGGGAAGAGTGTGGTGTATAAGGTTTATGGTGCGGAAGGTTGGCGGTTCGAGTCTCCGCAAGAGCGGATCAAATTGTTCTACAACGAATTATCGTCATGAATGGCACTTGATAGCGTCACGAATAGTGCCTACCATGACATTAAAGTGTCACTGAAAGGTTTTAGTCTTGATGGTGTAATGACACTTACAAGTGTCACTAACTCTTTTTTTAATGGCGCTTGATAGTGCCACAAATAATATCTACCATGACATTGAAATGTCATTGAAAGTTTTCAGCCATGATGGTGCAGTGGCACTTGCAAGTATCTACCGTGGCACTCGTATCTACCGTGGCATCGATAGAAGTGGCACTTGTTCAAAATACCACAAGACCAAAAAATGTTATTAGAAGAATAGTTTTGTGACACTTTCAAATGTCACTAAACTAAGAAAATGTTTAGTGTGTAAATATTTTTCTGAAACTGATGTGTAATTTTTCCTTTTAATTTAGAAGCCTTTCATAATTAGAGTTCATCATAATTCTAAAAAGGGTTGATTCTTCTCAACTCGTAATTTTAAATTGAGAAAGCGAGCTTAATAGATTTGTTTTGGAGATGATTTTAGGTATTTGAAATAACTAATAAATATAATTTTAAGAATAATTATTTACTTTTATAATATATATGTAATTCAAACATATAATTATTAGGATAAATTATAACTTAACCCCCTGTGGTTTACTCAAAAAACACGGAGCCCCACTATAGTTTCATTTGTAACACTTAAACCCCCTATACTTTATATCAAAGTGCAATTTTGAACGGACGTAACAGAAATTGTAAAAAGTTTAAATTACCCTTATTTATTTCTCTAATTTTCTTCTTAATGCCATTATAAACCACCAGTCAACAAATTGAATCTATCGTTGATAAGTTAACATGTAGACACTTGAGGAGAAGGATAAATGGTGAACCCAAGCTTTGATTTCTCTCTCTCTCTCTCTCTCTCTCTCTTTTTCTCTCTATAAATATATAGTATATCTTCTCTCTCACCGTGACCACCATCATCACCACCATTGCCCAGCTCCGTTAAAACCAAGAACAACCTTTTACAAAATGCTATAGATGAAGTAACAGAAGAGAGTAGATGAAAAAGAAAGAAACAGATTTTGAGATGTTTCTTTGAAATGTGTGACGTTACTTTTCGGGCAACTTTCGGCATGTCGAAACCACCCATTTCAGGAATAAGTGAGAAAATGAGGTAGCGTAGGATGAAGTATAAAGCAAGGTAAGGAAATTGGTGAAAGAAGGGGATAAAACCATTTAGAATCGCGAAAGTTATAGAATCCGAAAGATGGGCCGAAGAAATGTCGGAAACAAGAAGGAAAAGTGGGTTTGGTTGGTATGAATCCCATTAATGCTATTTCAAAAATCTAAATGTTTACACATATTAATTATTTGATTTCATGGGTTGGATTTGTTACTAATTTGAATTATAAGAAGAAAAGTGGGTTTGGATAATTTTTAGTGAGAGAAGTTGTGGTGGTGATTTTGAGTGGTGGTTTTGCATGGAATAAGAAGTTAGTTGTGGATAATTTTTAGAGAGAGAAGTTGTGGTGGTGATTTTGAGTGGTGGTTTTTTATGGAATAAGAAGTTGGTTGTGGATAATTTTTAGAGAGAGAAGTTGTGGTGGTGATTTTGAGTGATAGTTTTGCATGGAATAAGAAGTTGATTGTGGTTTTGCATGAAATATGATGGTGGTGATATTGGTTGGTTGTGATTTTGCATGAAAAGTGATGGTGGCGAGATGAGAGGAGAAATAAGAGGTGATGGTGGTGATGGTGGTGAAGGTGATGGTGTTGTATATTTATATAATGAGAGAGAGAGAACTTGAGGTAAATGAAACAAACAAAAGGATATTAATGCTTTAGGTAAATGAAACCCATGCTCAAAGGATGTTAATGCTTGAGGTAAATGAAACCCATGCTCAAACATTGAATTTCGTTTGGGCATAAAGATGTTAATGTTTCGCTAAGAATGTAATCCATGCTCTATTGCACTACACTATTTTGTGTATATATATGACAATAAGGGTGTTTTGGTCATTTGCTATATGTTTTTAGGAGGGAAAAACTGTTCCACTCATCATTCATGGTCGTGCGTGCAGCACACGTTCTGTTTAAATAAACATTTCTGTCGAAAATTGCACTTTGGTATGAAGTATAGGGGGTTTAAGTGTTACAAATGAAACTATAGGGGAGCTCCGTGTTTTTTAGGCAAACCACAAGGGGTTAAATTATAATTTTAGGTGATTCTATTTACACCACTCTTTTACTTCCTTACACCCTTCATATGAGATTATTTTTTTCTTCCAAATTTATCCATGTGTGAAATTACTTAAAAGGACAAAACACTAAAATTAAATATATTTGATTATCTCCTTACACTCCTTGATCTTCAATCTCTATTTTTTCTTTCTCAACTTTTCTTTTCTCTTACACATCTCTTTTGAAAAAATGATAATCATAGTGTTTTGATCATCAAAAAAAGTAATGGATGGAAAAACAATGGTGAAAAACCATCAAAAAAGTAAAATAGTGAGTTTTTTTTATTAGTTTGGTAGTTTTTGTTTCGATTTTCTGGGTTGGTCTGTGACTTTTGTTCAGTGTGTCGAAATCGAACAAAATAACATAGTCCGGCATCACAGTGCTGAACAAAAAATATAAGTCTGGTATCAAATTTTAATCAAATTACCGAACAAGCCCAAATTATCATTTGGAACAAAGTGGTTCTATAAATGTATAGCAACAGAATGCTAGATAAATTTATTTTTTCCAGCAACATAACATTGGAGTAATTAAAATTCACTAGCATTATATCAGGCCTAGAACAAATTATTACTACATTATTTGGAAGGAAGTGACTCTATAAATGTATAGCAACAAAAGGCTGGAACAAACAATTTATTCCAGCGTTATAGCACCGAATTTTTGTAAATTGTTTCGCATTGTGTGACCAAACAGACACTTCAATGTAGACTCTACTAGTTTTGTTGAGAAGCGAACTGAAATTATCCAATTGAATAGTAACATAATACTGGAAAACAAAATTTTATCTGGTAACATAGAACTAGAATAATTCAAATTGTTTAGCAATGTATTACCGAACAGGCCCAGCACAAAGTATGGGTGTAAAGAGATGGGATCTGAAGAGTTTTTTATCATAGGATTTGTTTTGGTAATATATTAGGTGTAATGAGAATTTAATTTTTTTTAAGTGGTGCAATAAGATGAAGGGTGCAAGGAGGTAAAAGAATGGTGTAAGTAGAATCACCTTATAATTTATCCTAATTATTAATATCTGATATTCTTTTTTATGTAAATATTTTATGTAATAAATTTTAAAAAATAAATAGGCCAAATTATCAAAATTGATGCCAAAATAAAACTATCAAACCAAAGCTCGGATGAAATACACGACTTCAGACAAACCAAGTCCATTCTTTCCAGGCAGCCTTATTGGACCTGTGGATGCCTGAAGTTTGACTTTTACAATCCCTCAAAATTCTTTGTCCTTATACAACCCCAAAGCAAACGCCAAAAACAGAAAAAAAAAAAAAAAAAAAAAAAAAAAAAAAAAAAAAAAAAAAAAAAACAGAAGAAAAAATCAAAAAAATATAAGTGAAAACGAAAAGAAGCTAGGAAAAAATAAATTGCCCAATAAATATTTATGGGAAAGGATTGTCTCCCATCTATTTTGTGAATTTAACGGTACTGTTGGATTTATGAGACTCATTATGAGTCTTATTTTGAATCGTTCAATATGTAGAGTGTATTGTGTATTTTTTTTTTGTAAAAAATTACGTTGATCGAATATCGATAGCTCTTGATCAAATTATATTTTTATTAATGGTAAATAAGATTTTAAAAATAAATTGTTAATGAAAATATATTTTGATGAAGAAACTATAGATATTTGATCAATATATTTTTTTACATAGATGAAATACACGACGAGAACTAAATATTAACGTTTCGGATTATAAAAATAAAATCTGTGATGATCTCACACAATAATATCGTCCCATCTAAAAAATAGACTGGAGACCATCTTTCCCAATTTTTATTTGTTCCCCACAATTGCATTTCGGAGATTCACAGTACGGAAGCTATGATTTCCGACTTAGGCATAGTTTGGGAAATTGGTTTTAGTGGGTTAGGGGTTAAAATAGTCACAAAAAATAAAATAGGTTATTTTAGTCATAAAAAAATAAAACATCAAATTCAACCAATAATCATTACACTTATTTCTCATAAAAAAAGTCAAAAAGTTAAAAAGTCCTTCCCAAACTAGGCTTTTTAGCCCCAGGCTAAAATAATTAAAAAGTCAAAAAGCCAAAAAGCCAACCTACTTCCCAAAACGGAAGCTTAAAAAAATATAAAAAATAAAATTGATTACATAAATTAATAAGATAAAATATCATATTTAAATTATAATTATTATATTTTTTTCTTACAAAAATTAAAAAAAGTTAAAAAAAATTCAAACCAAGTTAAAAAAATTAAACTAAAATAACTGAAAAATCAAAAAAAAAAAAATAATTTATTTTAGCTGTTTCCAAACGAAGAGTGAGCAAATAACTTCACTTTCAGTCTCTTCCACACACACCTCTAATATTACACATGACCATTTAATGGAATCAGACTTTTCTGGGTATGTTCTTTGTAGATTCACATTTACAGGAGAAAAATTTAATAATAAATAAAAAAAGATCAATCCGAGGCAGACCCAGATGAAAAAACCATTTGTTAGGCATTGGGCTGCCCTTGCTTTGTATTCAACTATCTCTAACTCTGTTCTTTACTTGTTCTTCATTGTACACTCTACAAGTTTAAACAGTGAAAAGGTCAGTGGTTTGTAATTTTCCATCCTCAAAATACTTTTATTTGTTTTGTGCTTTTTTGTTTCTGAAGTAGATGAATTTTGGGGGGGTTAGATGTGAAACCCATGTCAACAGTCTCAGCTTGTTGGTCTCTAACTACTAGTCAAGGGTCTATGGGCAAGATATTTTGTCTAAGGCTTATTAGACCTATTCACTCTAACTACATTAGCAAATTATCATAATTTGAACTTTCTGATTGATGAATTGGGTTGAGCTACTTTCTTCTTTGCTAAACACATATATACACTACACACCACATATTTAGGGGCATATACATTCTGACTTTGACTGTTGTCTTGAGCTATATTAATACTGTTTTCAAAACATTGAAAATCTTCAAGGTTTTTTTCTTGAGATTTTCCCCTCTCTATTTTGAAATTTTACATCATCTGTGTTTAGTTCATGTAGAGTCTCTTGGAATTAGGTCATTGGAGATTTACATGTTACTGTTTCAGAAAAATTCCCATTGTTTTAGAATCTGGTTCTAGAAAAATGTTGCTATTGAATGTTTTTTCAAAGCCAATGCACAAGACTCTCTAGGGCGGGATTTGGAGAGCAAAATCATATGCTGTTTGATAAGTAAATTTAGTCCCTTCTAAAGGGTTTTGCTCTATTTTTTGAAAACATTTGGAAGTAAAGGTGATAGTTACAGAGAATGTCTGATGGTAGAAGGAAAAAACAGCATTTGAGCAAAATCCATTCTATTTCATTTGGGAAACCATCTTTCAATGGTGAGCACTCACAGATTGGAGGACCGGGCTTTTCGAGAGTAGTATTTTGCAATGACCCTGAATGCCTTGAAGCCACTTCTCTCAAATATGAAACCAATTATGTCAGAACTACAAAGTTCACCTTTGCAACATTTGTTCCTAAAGCTTTGTTCGAGCAATTCAGGCGTGTCGCAAACGTGTATTTCCTCATCTGTGCGATTCTGTCCTTCACGCCTTTCTCTCCTTACTCTGCAGTCAGTACTGTACTTCCTTTTGTTCTTGTGGTTGGAGTGACAATGGGCAAAGAGCTCCTTGAAGACTGGAGGAGGAAAATGCAGGTAACATAATTTTCTGTTCTAATATTTCATCAGACTTTTGTATCAATGGTTTTTTTAGATGTTGCTTTCTTGGTTAATTGTCACATTGTCTATGATATGTGTTAAAATCCACTCACTACACCACTACCACCTCACCTACTCCACTAAACCTAACCCACTACACCACTACCACCTCACCTACTCCACTAAACCTAACCCACTACACCACTACCACCTCCACTTCACCTACTCCTTACCTACTACACACTCACCCTCTTCTATATATAGGAATCATGAACCATTGTAATAAATAGATCAATAACATTAAATCAATCAATAATACATCAATTTTAACAATATGTCCTAGCCTATGCATGCTACATGTGTAGACTTCCAAACTTGTACAAATTTGACCTATTCAGATGGGTCCTTAAATTGAATAATCTTCCTAGAAATGTTAATACCAGGAAGCAACATATTTGCACGGTCATGATGGGGTTGATCAATGAAGTAAAACAGAGTAGCTTTTAAACTATGTGGATGTTGGAGATTATTTGTTTCGGTAGTTATTTGCAATGCAGATCAGCCACCTGAGTGTTGTATATATCATTCAAACAATGTGAATATATTTTGGATTGGCATATTGGTAATAATTCACAATTACTCATGATGAATAAGAAATTATTGGAAAGTGCATTGTTTTTGCTTTTCTTGGGGGGTGTTCTTTAAGAGCCTCCTGTCTCGAGATGCGAAAGGGTTAGACTTATTGCTTCTTTGAACTGCCTTAAGAATCAAAATTGTTTTTATTAACTTCTTGCATTGTTAGTTTTTATTATATATATTATGCAAAGCTGTTTTCTTGGTACAAAGAGGAGCCTAATCTTGAACTTGGAAGACAACCTTGTCCAAGTTATTCTGTTTCATCTATTTGTTTCTGATATTCATTTTTCTCTATTTCTTTGGTAATTATCTACCCTTATAATTAGTCTTTGCAATGATATCAGGATATCGAGGTGAACAATCGAACTGTTAAAGTGCATCATGGTGATGGCATTTTTGATCATACTAAATGGATGAACTTGAGAGTAGGAGATGTAGTGAAGGTGGAAAAGGATGAATTTTTTCCAGCAGATATTATCTTGCTTTCATCAAGTTATGATGAAGCACTTTGCTACGTTGAAACCACAAACCTCGATGGAGAAACCAATTTGAAACTAAAACAAGCACTAGAAGTAACTTCACCCTTAAATGAGGACTCTAGGTTCCAAAATTTCAAAGCTGTCATTAGATGTGAGGACCCAAATGCAAATTTGTATTCATTTGTTGGGAGCTTGGAAATCGAAGAACAACAGTTCCCTCTTACAATTCAGCAGCTTCTGCTAAGAGGCTCAAAGCTAAAGAACACAGATTACATATATGGAGTTGTTATCTTTACAGGTCACGATACGAAGGTTATGCAAAATTCGACAGCACCCCCATCAAAGAGAAGCAGAATTGAGAAAAGAACTGATAAACTTGTCTACTTGTTGTTTTCTGTTTTAGTTCTGATGTCTTTTATTGGATCAATTTTCTTTGGAATTGCAACGAGGGAGGACCTGCAGAATGGCTTGATGACAAGATGGTACCTTAGACCCGATGACACGACAATTTACTATGATCCAAAACGAGCAGTGATTGCAGCAATTTTGCAATTTTTGACTGCCCTAATGTTGTATAGTTACTTGATCCCTATTTCATTATATGTTTCAATTGAAATTGTCAAAGTTCTTCAGACTGTTTTCATCAACCATGATTTGCACATGTACTACGAGGAAGGCGATAAGCCAGCAAGCGCGCGTACGTCGAATTTAAATGAAGAACTTGGACAAGTTGACACAATACTTTCTGATAAGACCGGAACTTTGACTTGCAATTCAATGGAATTTATCAAGTGTTCAGTGGCGGGGACGGCTTATGGACGTGGAGTTACAGAAGTTGAGAGGGCTTTGGCTCAGACAAAAGGATCACCTTTAGCTCAGGAAGTGACAGAAGAAGGGGTCCCCGTTGAAGGCTTTCTTGAATCAGAGCCATCCGTTAAAGGGTTTAATTTTGTGGATGAAAGGATTATGAATGGGAATTGGGTTAATGAGCCTCGATCAGATGTGATCCAGAAGTTCTTCAGGTTATTGGCTGTCTGCCATACTGCTATACCTGAAGTTGATGAAGAAACGGGTAGAATTTCATACGAGGCCGAATCACCAGACGAGGCAGCTTTTGTGATTGCCGCAAGAGAACTTGGCTTTGAATTTTTTGAGAGGTCTCAAACAAGCATTTCACTGCATGAGATAGATCCCATATCTGGAAGGAAGGTTGAAAGGTCAGTTCATTGAGTTTTTTGTGATCTGTTCTCTTCAAGGTAGTGTTATAAGTCTAAGAAGCACAGATACTTTTAAGAAGATGACGTGTCCGTGTGGCTCGTGTCAGATATAGACACTTCAGGACACGTGCCGAACACACAGTCCAAACATGTCTTATTATTTTTTATTTAAATTTTTATTTATTTATTTATTTTTTAAGGTTTAGGATAAATCTTAGAATTTAATGATAAAAGAAAAATAATTTAGATTTATACTGATTAATTCATCATCTTCTAAACTTTAGAAACTCATGTTATGTTGTATATTTTTATTAAATTCGAATGAAACATAATAAACATATAAAGCCCTATATTTTGGGCTTATCTCTCATGTGTTGTGTCGTGTCGTGTCCTGCACTGCATTTTTTAAAAATTGTCATATCGGTGTGTCCGTTGCATGTCTGTATCTATGTCCTTGCTTCTTAGTCACAAGTTATTGGTGTTGAATGTGTTCAGAGAACATTCTCTTGCACTTTTGCAGGTTGTATAAACTTTTGAATATCTTGGAGTTCAGTAGCTCAAGAAAGCGGATGTCTGTAATCATAAGAGATTATGAAGGAAAGCTACTTCTACTTTGTAAAGGCGCTGACAGGTTTGTAAAATGAACAACCAATTTAAATCCCATTAGGTTAATGAAATTTAGTTTAGGATGTTATAAATTTGGTACCTATGTAAGGTAGTTAATCCCAATTTCATTTTACTTTAACATGGTATCTGTATTTGTTTTCACAAATAGCGTCATATTTGAAAGACTTGCAAAGAATGGAGGGGAATTTGAAGAGCAGACTAAGGAGCACATTAATGAGTATGCTGATGCTGGTTTGAGGACTTTGGTACTTGCGTATCGTGAACTTGATGAGGATGAATACAATGAATTCAACGAGGCATATACGGAAGCCAAGAATTTAGTCAGTGCAGATCGTGAAGAAATAATTGAGGCAGTTGCGGAGAAGATTGAGAAAGATCTGATTCTTCTTGGTGCTACAGCTGTTGAAGACAAACTGCAACATGGGGTATGTTTTACGAAATTAAACAAAGAAGGTGCTTGAATACAACATTTGAACTAAAGTCAATAAATTTTATTATAGCCTTCTAGAGCATAGTATGGAATCTTTTATTTATTTAATTTTTTGGGGAAGAAGTAAAAATACAGTTTCGTCGGAAAATTTGGATGGAAAATTCAAAATAACTTTTATTTTGAATTCCAACACAATCAATTTCATGCTGCCTCACAAATTCGTCTTGAGTATTATATATAAACATCCACAATTTTTTTTTTATGATATTGGGTATTGGTTTTATTGATTCATGTTTAATTTCATATTATTTATTATTATCATCATCATTATGAGTGATTTGTTTTGGGTGCTTTGGAATAGGTTCCTGAATGCATTGACAAGCTTGCACAAGCTGGAATAAAAATATGGGTTTTGACAGGAGATAAGATGGAGACTGCGATTAATATTGGGTATGATCGGTAGATATGACTTTCCACATCAGTTAGATTTCAAGTCTAAAACCAACATTTCTGACTTTTAAGTTCAATTTTGCAGTTTTTCCTGTAGTTTACTTAGAGAAGGAATGAAACAAATAATAGTAAACTCGGAGGCACCAGGGTTTAAAGCGCTGGAGAAAGCTGGGAATGAGTCTGCCATCCGTGAGGTTAACATGCTGTAGTTGCTCTTCTTCTGATTATTCTTTTAAGTCTTTAACTTTTAACTAGGACAGGCTCATCATATATGCTACTAATCTAATGTTCTTGTGTATTTATTACACAAACATGGCCTACGCTGCTACGCATTTATACAGCAGAATTACTAGAATCAATTGATTGTGGGAATATTTAATCTCAAACCAAATGGAGCTCCTCTACAATTTTTTTTGGGAAATCTATTTCTAATGAGTGATATCAATCATTAGTACTGCTCTAGATTTGTTATCTCTTCATATGATAAACATTTTTTCAAAAAACTTTTAGCCAAAAAGATCTTCACAATGTTTAGATGACATTTAGGTGGAAAAAAAGAATAGAAAATAATACTTAACGTATCTTTTCTTTTGTAGAACTCAATAAATGTTCTACCACATTTCTTTCATTTTTCTATTTTCCCTTGTTCCCCTGTTTGTCTGGTTTCCTTTCCTAACTGGTAACATCATGACAAATTTATGACCAACAAATGAATGCAAAGATCATGGCATATATGCTAAACTACCAATATCAATGATCATGGCAAATGTGCTAAACAACCAATATCATAAAATATGCTAAACAAACAATCTCATAGTATATTATATATTGCATAAAATATGCATGTCCATTAGTCCCCCAATCTAAAGATTCATGTCATATTATATGTTTGATTTTATAGTCATTATAGGAAAGTCGAGGTTGTCAGTGTTGGCATTTGGAAACATATAAATAGCTATTAGCTAGCCATATATACCTACAGTTCCTCCAAACATGGTAAATTGTAATAGTTTGACAAACATATTTAAGGTTTAACTTGGAAGTTTGATGGGCATTGGTTGATTCTTTAGGCATCAAAAGCGAGTGTACTCAATCAGATAATAGAGGGGAAGGAACTGCTTACTGCATCAAGTGAAAGCTATGATGCATTGGCTCTAATTATTGATGGGAAGTCACTCACTTATGCTCTGGACGATGATGTGAAGGACTTGTTTATGGATCTTGCCATTGGCTGTGCATCTGTTATTTGCTGTCGTTCGTCACCAAAACAGAAAGCACTCGTGAGTTAATTTTTTATGCTAAAGTAGAAAAGATAAATTTATTGTACCTTGTTCCTTTGTCGTTTTCTATTTTTATTCAGAATAAGAATATAATTTAGCACTCACAAATCATGATATTTATGAAATAATAAAGATAATGGGTGTGTTTGGTTTGATTTTGATATAAATTTCGAATTTTTTTTTTGGAAAAAGAGTTCAAAATTTTTTTTGGTTTGTTTGGTTGTATATTTTGGAAATAGTTTTGGAGTATGGCAGTTTGAGATGATTTGATATTTTGTTGTAGTTGAGTAGATGTGTGTGAGAGAAAAAGTGATTGGTTGATGTGTAGGAGAGATAAAGTGACAACAAAATTTTGGAAATTTTTTTCAAAAATTATGTTTTGAGAGTTAAACCAAACAAGGCCAATGTCTTCTTGCTTGTTTCTTTGTTGTTCTCTATTTTAGGCCTGGATTTTATTTTGAATGGACACGAATAATGGTTATTTTCTCTAATAAATACGAGTTTAAGTGCTGTTTAGTGTTGTCTTTTGTACAACAAATTCATGCCAATCAAGTGCCGAAAGAAAATTTAATCAATCAAAAAAAAGAATCCCTTTTCTTGAACTTTGTAAACAAAAGCCCATGCTCAAGAGAAAAGCAGTCAAGCATGCTTGATTTTCATTTCGTCTTTTCATAAGCATCATTTATGAAGAAAGCACATTTTGTGATATCTTACTGAACACAAACTGTTTCTTAAAATTACTCATCCAGAGAAAAAATAAAAAATAGAACAAGCTTCCAGAAATCCTTTTACTTTTTGTCGTGTACATAAGAATATTCAAAGTAATGTATTTCGATATATATGTATATATATTGAAGGTTACAAGATTGGTTAAAGTTAGAACTGGTAAGACAACACTAGCAGTTGGTGATGGGGCAAATGATGTTGGAATGCTTCAAGAAGCAGATATCGGAGTTGGTATCAGTGGCTTTGAAGGAATGCAGGTAAATACGCTTATCATGGATGAAAATTGAATGGTTTATTATTTCATTATCAATGAGGTGTGCGTGTATCTTGAAACTATTTCATTATGCTACTTCTAATCTCTCCTTTTCCATTCCCCAAAAAAGGCAGTCATGTCAAGCGACATTGCAATTGCACAATTCCGCTTTCTTGAGCGTTTATTACTTGTGCATGGACATTGGTGTTACAGAAGGATTTCGTCAATGGTAAGCTTTTATTTTCTGCACTCAATTCATCACCTAGAAACAGCAGTGGCCATGAGTGAACATTTTAAATTACAATTTTAGGGTTGGTTTGGATGGTTGTGGATTTCAAATCAAGGGATTTGAGATTAAAATTATTGGAGAGTTAGCTATTACACGTGGGGAGAAAAATTATAGTAAAGATTAGTTGTGATAAAAGATATGTATTTTAGTCTGATCTTTGTAGCTAGAAGAGAATCCTTGACATGATTTCAAATATAAAAACTTTTGTATAGTTATTTCAAATCCATCATGATGAAACTATTTAATTCAATCTTGAAATTCAAATGTAAACTACCAATTCGAAATGTAAGTTATTCTCCTTGTATAATTGAAGTCAAACCCATGCATTTCAAATCTACGTCCATCCAAAACGGACTAATTTTAATACGGATACAAATGAAGATATAAAATCTTGAAGCCTTTTGAGATGAATAATGAGTATTTTAGTTTGAAATTTGTAAAAACAATTTGTTGAAAATTTTGACTAGTTTCTTTTGCCAACTTATGAACACAACTTTAAGAACTAGCCCATAGAAAAGCCGATGATAACGTGTTCTCTTTGTTATTTTGCAGATATGCTACTTTTTCTACAAGAACATTGCATTTGGTTTCACTCTTTTCTTCTTCGAGGTATATGCATCGTTCTCTGGCCAAGCTCCGTATAACGATTGGTATCTTTCCTTTTATAATGTCTTCTTCACATCACTTCCTGTGATTGCCCTCGGAGTGTTTGATCAGGACATATCTGCACAGTGCTGTCTCAAGGCAAGTTCCAATTTCCAAAACCTTCCCTTTCTTATTTCAACTGAACGAGATTCTAGACAAACGATCAATCAATTTCACGATGACAATTAACAACCGTTACATAACATGCAGTTCCCAGCTTTGTACCAAGAAGGCATACAAAATGTGCTATTTAGCTGGTTGCGAATCTTCAGTTGGGCGTTAAACGGTGTGTTCAGTGCCACGTGCATCTTCTTTTTCTGCATTTATTCTATCGAGGATCAAGCTTTCCGTAAAGGCGGGGAAGTTGTCAGTCTAGAAATCCTCGGCACAACCATGTACACGTGTGTTGTATTGGTTGTGAACTGCCAAATGGCGCTCTCCATCAATTACTTCACATACGTACAACACCTCTTCATTTGGGGTAGCATTGTCTTTTGGTACTTGTTCCTCTTGGGATATGGGGCTATGTCTCCCACAATATCAACAACCGCCTTCATGGTTTTCATTGAAGCATGTGCACCATCCCCATTGTTTTGGATCGTGACGCACATAATCTTTCGTGCTTGTCTCGCACTCTCATTCCCCCTCGTCGCTTACTCACACCCGTGTCACTTTCCTTTGTTCTGGTTCTTTGTTTTCATATGCAGTTTTTCCCAATGTATCACCAGTAATGATCCAATGATGTGCATCAATGGCCAATCTCTGAAGGATCCCTCGTAAATATCTCTACTATATGAGTACACGACCAAAATCATAGTCGCCCACGAGGACTGTCGGGTTATACAACGCTGAACGCCTTTTGAGAGCACAATCATAGTCTTCTCAAAACACAGCTTCCCGAAGAGATTGCAGTCTCATTCTTGACCAAAATTGTCTGTTGTGAGAATAGAATATATTAGTTAAGATTATTTTCTAACTAAATGAGGGTGTATAGATGCGTACTTCCTTTGACACATTGCACGACAACAATAGTTAAAAGTGACTTCTGTGTAGTCACATGAGTCTGTACAATTGATCCTCATTTGGTGTTTAGGGAGGTCTTAGTACAGGATGTTCTGTTTCATTTGTTGGTGGTATTTGTTGAGAAGGTAGAGGAAGCTCAAAATAAGTATTTTAAGTTTGGTAGCATTTGGTCTTTTTGTTTAGTTTTTTAGTCTTTTTATTTTATATTTCTCTGATAAATTAAAATATTGTTTATTGCGATTAATTTTGGAAATTTCATTTGGTAAACCAAAAATAAATATATAGCATAGTTAAATTTGTCTTCGTTTTAAAGTGAGCAAAAGATAACATTTAATGAATTGTTTTAAAATAAAACCAAGTTTTTAGAATCACAATAACATGAGTGAATGTGGATGGGTTTTTTTAATTGTTGCTTCATTTGCAAACAGATAATACACAAAAAAAATAAAAAAGATTAAAAGATAAAAATAGTTTTTTATAAATTATTATACGGTAATCTTTTTGCGACATTCCTCAAAATGATATATGCATGTTCCAAAGTAGAAATATAAACCGGAAAACTTAAGAGTTGGAAGAATCTCGATAACGAGGAACCTATGAGAGATTAGCAGAAATTGAGCAGCATATCTCCCAACCTGTTTTATTATCACATCATGATCATACTCTCGTAGTTTTTTCAAATATCATATACATCTTAATATATTGAATTATGTTTTTTATATAGATTCATTTATACCGAGATTATTTATAATATATATGATTTCTATATATAATACATACTCTATGACAATACGAGCATTAGTTTCTTCTTTTGCGACAGATATAAAATATCAAAAATTTTAATCTCCACCGGAATTTACCTAATAGATATAGTAGAGATTTTGATATTGGAATTCGTTACCGTTATCTCTAATTACTCTCAACAAATAATTCTACATATAATTAATCAATTCTCAGTATTTATCTCATGTGGTGCATTCGGAAATAAATGAATCTCCATCTGCACACTCTTAGCAATTTTACAAGATAACTCTTCTAGATATAATATTTAAAGCAAACTATTTATCGGACTTACGTCCGTTTAAGGTGTGTTTCTAAACATGTATATATCTTTTCTGGTATATACGGAGGTTTGGACATCAATTTCTGCCTATGAGATAACACAATGGTTTATATGGGAATTTGGATACGTGTGTACCTGATTGCGCATTGGTTTTATGCAATACTAAAATCAAACATAACAATATATTAAATATATGAGTTTATCAAAATTTAAAAATTAAATTAATAAATAAATAAAAATTAATAAAGGCGATAATAAGCATACTTACATTTATTAACAATGTTATATGATATATATAATAAAGATAATAAATGATATAAAATAAAAAAATATAAATAAATACAATATATAATAAATAGGAAGAAATAAAAAAAGTATAATAAGACATAATATATTAGACATAATATAAGAAATAAAAAAACAATAATAAAATAAAAAAATCATAAGAAATAAAATAATACATAAAAATATAATATTAATAATATATAATAAAATATTAAATAAGAAGAACAAGATAAAAAATAATAATTATAACAATAATTAAAACATAAAAAAAGATAAAAATAATATCAATTTAAATATAGAACAAACAATAATCAATAATAAAGAAGTTTGACAATTTTTCCCTTTGCTAAAGAAAATTAATATCTAAAGTGGGAAAAAAAATATATTTTAAAAAGTCAAAGTATGAAGAAAGTGTTCAAACTTAAAAGGAAGACAAAACTGGGCATTGAAAGACAGGGTTTGAAGGCCAATGCCATAGGCCGATACACTGACACACCAAAGAACAGTGGGAGGTATTTCGAACAAGAGTATGGACAATTCTTTAGAGAATACTGTTGAAGCCAACATAATTCTTCAGCAGCCGTTGGCGACTCCTAAAGTTTTTCAATCTCCTCAATGTAGTATTGTGTGAGCCATGGCTCAAACCATTCTAGCTTTTCACCGGTTCCGAGGATCTAGAGATAGTTGGCCTGCTTTTCAAACTCAAGGATTTGTATATAGAATTTTCCTAAGAGAATCTAACACTTCTGGATCTCGGTGATTGCTCAATTTGGTTGATTCTCACACTCCGGCTGCTGCCTTGAGAAGTTATGTATGGCTTCAACTTATGTTTTACTCAAAGAATTGTCATCTCTTGTTCATCCTCCCCTGTTCTCTTAGTAGACAAAATCCTAAGAAATAGTTGCGCGGCGGTAACATATTTGGTTTTGATCTTCCTTCCAAATTTTCATGAAAAGTAGTTTAAGGAACTAACTTGACTGTTATGTAGTGATGAATCGATGTCTGAGAATTATGAGTATATTTTCGGTCCAGAAGTGAAAGTAAGGTCCAAGATTTGGCTTCAACCATCCCTGTGCTTTCAATGCCCGCGATTTTGTCTTGGCTCCATTATAGTATAATGACCCAATTGAAGATGAGTTTCGCAGATGAATACGCAATGTATAGCCAAGACTTATCAACCTTCACTTTCTTTGACTGTTTCGTTGTAATTTCTTTTTTTGTGATTGTTTACAGCACACTATATGTGCAGTCATAAATTCGTATTTAACAAGTCTATATTACCATATTGAATTTGGCAATGAAAGGAAATATCTTTCGCATTAATAAAATTGTCTCATAAATCTTCAAAGTAGGATGAGTCGAAAAGGTGAAAATTTTAGCTCTTTTTAGTATTTTTATAGTAATATAATTACGAGGTTACAGATATCTTTTCAAAAAAATTTATTAAAAGAAACACTCAATAGATTGTAGATATAATATTCACTAACTGAGTTATGAATCTTGTTGCAAAGTCTTTACGTTAACATTTAAAACTGACGTTCACTCAAAACAAAGTCACACTAAATTAATAGTGCATTGGAAATCTCCTAAGACCCATGGAATAACCTAACTCCATTTCTTACTTCCATACACCACTTCTATCTATTAACACCGTTTAATCTCCATTTTACTTACACAGTGTTGCAAGCTGATATCTGAAAAATTTCTAGATGTATTGTGATAATATAGGTCTCATGCATTCTGTACCTATGCACGTAAAACATGTTCTAAAAATTTATGTCAGAAGAGAATATTTATTGAAGTTTGTTATTTTATTTTAATGGCATTCTTCAAGTGAAAAATTGAAAGCTAGCATTAGATATAACTTATTGAACCTGGCTTGTTGCTGATGCTGAGATGAGTTTCTTCCTCTCTTTCTAATCTTCTGATGAAATGTACGTCATCGTCCATCTTCACTAACAGACCTATTTATATTACCCAAAATAACATTGACACTTAAAGAGTAATAGTGAAGATCAATCAACCCACTATTTAAATGCTTAAATCAACAATGAATGGTATGTTACACATTTCTTAACTAGGATATAACTTATAAAAATTGCAAGATTTCAAGGAATCTTAATTGTCAAAATGAGCACACAATTAAAAAAAAATTTATTGTTATTCAAATTAATTAATTTTAGTTAATTTTGGAATAGTATGATAATCTGTACCAATAATATGATTTGATCTATATGTATAATTATCTAATTTTAATTGTTCTTTATGTAACATGATTTTTCTTATCACAATACTATAAACATGCCTAACAAATACACTCTATATTATGTTTTTTTTTTATCAATTGCGTGGAAGTCGTAGTCACAATTATATGGATAAAAATAAATCTATTATTTTGTGTTGAGGGATTTCAATGTGGCCAATAGCACTAATCTAAGTTGGCAAAACAATTCCATCTGAAGCATATCATAGCTTTAAAACTCGTTATGCCAAATCAAATAAGTTTACTACCTAATTTTTTATTAATTTTGATGCCACATTTTTATTTTTTGCTGATTATGAATGATAGAGGACTCTTAATAAACGATAACTGGGTATTAATGTTCATTTCATTGGATACACAAACTAATAAGAGGTGTATAATGTCTAGTCTTCTTCGTTAATTGTGTCATTTATCTAATCATTATTTTATTGCTAATTTATTTTGTAAAACATACAAAAGACTACCAATCCACAGTTGTTACCTGTCCAACGGCTCTATTCAAAAAAGAGGTTACTGAGGTGCTAGGGATATTCCTAACAATTATTCTTTGCTTGTTGTTTGTGCTTTCTTCATTGTCGCTGGGAGTGTTTATAAAATATTGAATTAATTGTGCATTGGCGTATATTAACCACCCAATTACACTTCATTCATTCATTTAGCGACCATGTAGTCAATAAGTATCGTTATTATCATTAGAACTATTTGGGGGTTGACATGATGCGGGAAAAAAACAAAAGCAAGGAAGAGATAAAGCAATATGACCAAATGACATGTAACAAAGTTCTGTGCTCTCTCTCCAAATAAAATAAATGTAGGTAATTAATTATTGATGTATTATAGTATCAAAAACCTCTATAAATAAGTCTCTGTACATTTTGTATAGAAATAATCTATTGATATAAAATACTCCTAATTCTGAGCCCAATTCCACCCTGAATTCTTTCAATCTCTTGGATTCACAGAATTTGTTACTCCAATTTTTAAGTGCCCTACCCACACTTTACATACAACGCACTTTCCAAGAATATAGCGCTTCCTCCTTCTCCTCCCTCCAGCACCACATCCACGCCATCCAACCTCACCACCCTCCTATCTTTCCCTACCGCCAACCTTATTGTATATTAAGATTGAATATTTCAGTACTACTATTTACGTGTAGATCTAATCCAGACCACCACCACCGACTGCGAACCACCATTATCATGTCCGTTTAGTCTTCGCATATGTTATGTCAAACTCAACTAAATAAGTCTTATGATAACTTATTAATGACATTCTTATAGTATACTCCAAAAACATCTAGTTAAGAAAAAATATATATCATGTCTCCGCTTCGACATGGACTCCGATGGCAGCCTCACCATTAACTTTCATTCATCGATAGTTTCCATGCGCCCAGCCCCTCCTTCCGATATTATTAGCAAATACCTCAAAATTGTTAGGTCACAAAAATATATCCTACTATCATAAATGGTACTATTCTCCTCCGGTCTCTGACCCGCAGACATCCACTTGATATTGTTAAAACCTTCTTAGAATTAAAGCGCTATCTTACAAATAAAAAACGGATTGCCA